CAAGGGCTCAAGTAGAAAGAAAATGTTTTGAAAATGATGATGGCAACATATGTACAAATGTGCTTGACACCTCAGATGTATGTACAGTTTGCACTAAGAGCTGTAAGAGCTGTAAGAGCCCCCAATAAAATGATTTAATAAAGAAAAGAAATTTGGCTGTGGGTAAGTTGAATGAATGATCTGAGAAACATGTTGTGTTTTGGACTAAACCTTACAGTAGATTTCTCTGATACCAAGTTCTCTGGAGATCTTAGATCATGCACCTCTAATCGAATCGTGCTTTTTCATAGGAGGTGGTGAGAGAGCCCGAACCCTGCACCTATCAAGAGGAAAACTGTTACCCAGACAAAGGGTCGACAATCTTATAGACCCAGGGTTGGTATCTACCTGTGTGCTCACACTGTTCTCATTGGATGAATTCAAACAGATTCTTTTTTTCCCACAATAGTTTAATTGGCATGTAGTTTACATATCATACAATTCAATAGTTGCGTTCAATCATATCAAGGAGAATTGTATAATCATCACCACATCAATTTTAGAGCATTCCAGCCCCCGCCCCCCCAGCCCCATGGTTACATTGCCTTTAAGATGAGTTATGCAATTACAATCTGTTCTGATGCTCCTTCTCCACTCCCGCCTTCATTACTTACTCCCCAAATACCCTTCCCCTGCCTGTCCCCCACCACCCACCCCTGTATTTCCCCCTATACCCCCTTGCATCAGTTATTATCATTCTGCATCCACTCCTCCTGTGCTTCACAGCTGGGAGACTCAACAGAAAACAATTAAAAACAAAATCAGACTAAGGTGGTAAGGCAAAATCATAATTATGCAAAGACAAAAATACAAATAATTCATAAGAAGTAAAAGACCCCCATCAGCATTCAAAAATCCAAGGAAGATGTTTCTGTCATTGAACCAGTGTCGGAGCCTGCCAACGAGTTGAAGGGTCCTGAAAGGGGGAGTGAGGATTAAGGAAAAAAAGAGAGAAAGTATTGGGAGGGCAACAGTGAATACTGAAGCCCCGAGTTTATTCTACACCTTCCTTTTATACATGCAGAAACAACCCGGGGTTATAGTTTTCTCATTGTTAAGCAAGCACATTGGATACACATCAGCAACTCTTATGTTTTCCAAACCAAGCATCCTTGAGAAAATCAACCATCCTGATTTCCCAGAACTCGCATACGTCCTTGTTCTTTTTCTTAGTCTCAATGTCAAGCTGCAGAAGCAAACAGCAGATACTGACACCTGGGTCATGAGACTTCTCGGCCGGTTCAAGGCTGAGTCTTAATGGCCTTCAACAAACCCGTAAGAGATACTTGCACCCACAACAACTTCAGGGTGTGTCTGTAGGGTGGCAACTGGCCAAGTGTCTAGTTCGATCCGGCATAATCCAGATTACAATGGTCGCTGCTGATAGGAAGGCTGTTCAAGACTCTTGCCTGTGGTAAGAGAGGATCTGCCAGCGACTCAGCCTGACTAGATTCCCTGCAGGTGGGTTTGGGCTCCCGCCGTCCCCTAGTCCTCCACAAATTGGGAGTTCACGATTTTAGCTCTGATGCTTTTCCCCTCACCATATTCATATTTTGTCATTGTCATCTGTGGATCCCATGAGCTGGTGTGCTTCTTCCGCCGTGTGGACTTAGCTGGCAGCTTGTTTGAATACAGGCCTTTAAGATCCCAGACACTATTCCGATTTATAGCTGGACACCATCTGCTTTCTTGACCATGCTTAGCTGTAGCACCCTTGTCTTCAGCGATCCTTTCATGAAGGTGAGTATCGAGCAGGGCCATGATGTAATAACTAATTTTTAAGTTAGAGCTAGGAGTTAGTTCAGATTCAAATTCTTATGGTCATGATAGAAATAAACATTTTAAATTCTGAAAGTATTAGCACACTCTAAGAAATAAAGTCCCTTGTCTCATCCCACTACCCTGACATAAATGTTCTGTCACTCATTCGACAGCAAGTGTTTTTTGAAAGCCTACTCAGTGTTAGACATTGTTTGCGGTGCTAGTGACACACCAAGGAACAAAGTAGACAAAGATTCTTGCCCTACTTGGGTTTGCATTGTAGCAGGGGGAGATAGAAAAGAAACAAAGTGCAATACATAAATTCTAGTGTCTGATAAATGGCATGGGGAACAGTAGACCAGGGTAAGAGGGAAAAAGGGTTGGGACCTTGTTGACGTACATGGGGTGATCAGCATAGGCCTCATTGATTTAGTGACATTTGAGCAAAGACTTGAAGGTGGGGAGAGAGGGAACTCTACAAATATTTGGGGGAAGTATTAAGGCAGAGAAAACCTAGGGGGAAATTCAAGGAGCTGCCAGGAGGCCAGAGTGACTCCAAAAAAGGGGTGAAGAGAGAGTAATAGGTGGTGTGGGATTGTGTAACATCTTGTTGGCTGCCCTAAGAGTTTGGGCTCCTTCCTTGAGAGATAAGGGAAATATGCCAGGGTCTCAAGCAGAAGTCTGTTATGGTTTATCTGACTTCACGTTTTTCTGCCTGCTGCGTTTGAGTAGGTGTATTAGTCTGGGTACTTTGGAGAAACAAATCCACAGCAGCTCATGTATAAGAGAGTTTTATGTAAAGAAAGTGTGCATCACGAAAACATCCCAACCCAATGCTGCCCAAGCCCACAAGTCCAACATTAACCCATTAACCCAACACCAGTCCACAAAGTCCTCCACCTCACAAAACAGAGGCAATGATGCCGACTGCAGGAGGAAAGCTGAGCAGTGAACGAACAAGCATCTCAGCACTAGCAGGGGTCTCCATACGGCTGCTCCAGCACCCAGGGCTGCATCGGGATAGGTCCATGTGGTTTCTCCTTGGGGATGTCTTGTAGGAAGTCAATTTTGCAAGCTGAAGCAGGGAACTGCTAAGGCAGCTGCACCCTGGTGCGACCATCACAAAGCGAGAGACCCGAGAACTAGAAAGGCGAGGCTCACCACCCATTTATCCTTCCGCCTTCAATTAGCACCAGGTGATTATCGGCCAGGCTGGCACAATTAACTAACTCAGTAGGCTAGGGCAGTAGGGATGGAGTTAAGACAGAAGACTCCTCTCTCAGTGATTCCAGGGTGAGATGAATGTGACTTAGAGGAGGATGGAAGTAGTTGGGTGGTGAAGGCAGTTAATTTTGAATTGTGCACATAGAACCAACAGGGTTTCCTGAAGAGTTGGCTGTGGGGTGAGAGAGTAGATAGAGTCCCCTAAACATTTTTCTTACGTTAAATTTTAAAATATCAATACAGGATATATTGAACATGTAGACCAACATAAAGGCAACCGCTGTACACACCTAGTGTATATCCTTTCAGACCGCTTTTGTACATGCATGCATCCTACCCTACTTGTGGGGAGTTGGTTCTAGCTCATAGCAATTCTGTTGGACAGAGTAGAACTGCCAAGTAGGATTTCCAAGGCTATGAATCTTACGGAAGCAGATGGCCAATCTTTCTCCTGTGGAGCAGTTGTTAAGTTCGAACCACCAACCTTTAGGTTAGTAGTTGCACTTCCAGGGCCCAGGTATATGTATCATGTATTCCATATGAAGAAGCTTCAAAAAGTTCATTAAACAATAGATGGAATGAAAAAGACAATGGAATTTTTCTATGAAAATTTTGAAGCCTCCAAAATATTCACATTGGTTTTTTTTTTAATTTTATAAATCCTTTTCTTAGCAGTTTAAAATTAACTCTTAGAATTTTTATAGGATTTATGTATACATATATATAATGTGAATATGTGAATCATTGCCATGTTAAAAACAACTTGGCTTTTCTAGATATGACTATTTAAATGTGATTTAAAAAACAAAAATGTCATTAGCAGTTCAAGCAGCATCCCTTTGCCCCCGACAGGTCTCCATTTCTGGAATTGTGCCAGTTTGCAGGCTACCAGTTATATGGTAAGGAGGAGGTCCCCGCTGGCGGCATCGTCGCAGGCATTGGCCGCGTGTCCGGGTGAGTACTCATCGCCTCCACCGCACACCGGCAGCCTGCATGCACTCCGCATGTTGTGTGCAGCTTGTGTGTTTGTGTTAGTTAGGCCGAGGCTTTCCACCCTGATACATATTAAACCCACCTGAAATTTTAAAAACAAAAGTTACAAAGGAAATAAAAATCCAAGGAAAACCTCTGGGCTCCAATCTAGCCCTCCCTGTTTCATCAGCTCTCTAGGGAGGGGCTTGGCTTGAGTAGCGCGGATCACTCAGTAAACAAGGTAAGTTCGGGCTTGTTATGGGGCTCTTGCTTAAATGTAGATTCGATTCAGTGTACTTGGGAGGAAAAGAGAATTCTCAGCAGGGGACTGGAATGGACTGGTTCTAAGCCTTGTTTTCAAAGGTTCTACAAAAAATTCGCTCAACCATCTCAGAGGAAACCCACTGTCTTATGGGAGGAGTTTTCAGGATGTGGTTCCCTAGACAGCAGCATCTCCTGGGAGCTTGTTAGAAATGCTCATTCTCAGACCTTTTTCAGAAGTACTAAATCAGACACCTGTCAGCTATATTTTGATAGGCCTGTCTAGTGTTCCTGTATTCTCATAGGCCCTCCTGGTGCTCAAAAGCTAAGTGTGAGAATGACTGGAGACTTAGGAAAGCTAGATGGCTAGATGTTAGATGTATTGAGACATGGACACACAGAAGAAATACAGAGTTAGGGCCCTTTGAGCCTCTGGTCCCAGCACTGTCACCTGATCAATACATAACCTTGCTTTGTATGTTTGTGTTTAAGGACACCTTATTTACTACACATTTTGCTGATTCATTAGCATCGACCGCAAGGCCAACAGCACTGTAACTCATCCTGTGTTGTAGGGTACAAAGGAGACCTCAGATTTCAGGTACACTTTAAGTAGAACATGTATTAAGGCTGGAGCAGGACAGAGACAAGACAAAGGTCATGACACATCATCCAGATGAGGGAGAGCATTAGCATATTGATGATTATAATGATCAAGGTGATTATAATGGTGTCTAAAGGTGGAGATTTAAGTAGGACATGGGAGGACAAAGGAAACTCACAGAATCATGATTGGCAGCAGATCAATACATCACAGTTGCAGGTGAGACTATAGAGAATGGGAATGGGGCCATGATTGGGACACAACATTCGGCTAGGCAGAAGTGCTTATAAGATTGGTTCAGGGCCTCAGGGCATGACTCATGACTGGGCAATCCCTGGTATAGCATCTCCTTCAAAGATACCCCCAGGCAAGCCCCTAAAGGAGATCGCTTTTCCCTGGGCTGGCTAGTGGGGTGGTGGTACCCTCTGTCTGAGGGTAAGCTTGTCCACATCCCTGTTAGTGGCCAGAAGGATTTCAATGGAGGGTTAATCCATGGGGGACTCTGCAAATGGATTTTGGGCTTTCGCTGTCATTTCCATAGCCTTCTGCAAACCCAGTGCACACAATTTAAGTTCTAATACACCTGAAAGAAGCTACCTAATATATATTCATCCCCCTCCCACCGCCCCACCTGCGGTGAGGCACCTCACAGCCTTCTGGCACTGAGGAGCACTAGACAAGCATGTCAATACCGGAAGTGCTTTAAAATGGCCTGTAGGCTATTTTATTCCGGGCACTCAGTAGACCAAGAAAAGGATACTTGTTTATAACTTGAGAACTGAAACAAGAACCCAGAGAGGTAAAGTAGAGAACACTTAAGACATCAGAACAAAGCACAAGCCAGAAAATAAAGGCTTTAAAATAAAAAAGCATAAGTAAGAAATTTGTAATTATCCTTTCTTACATGTTTGGTGGGGAGAGAAATGGGGTGGGGGAGGACAAGGACTTATTCAAAGTGTCCACAGCCATTACGACTGGGGATATAATGAAGAGAAAATGCCCTTCTGCTAAAGGGGCGCCGATGGCACTCAGACATCAGCATTAGACTGCTAACCGCAAGGTGGGCAAACCCACCAGTCACTTGGAAGGAGAAAGATGAAACTATTTGCTCCTGTAAAGATTTATAGCCTCAGAAACCATATAAAGCAGTGGTTCTCAACCTTCTTAAGGCTGCAACCCTTTAATACAGTTCCTCATGTTGTGGTGACCCCCCCAACCGTAAAATTATTTTCGTTGCTACTTCATAACTGTCTATTAGTTCTGTGTAGCCATTGCAATGTATGGTTAGTGGGTTTTTAGAGGACGTTAACAAGTTGTAATGCCAGTGAGAAATGTTCAGGGTTGAGTCGTTTATTGGGACATGTCACAACGTTCTTTTAGGTTTGCTGATAAGTACCCAAAGGGGCACACATACCACTCCTCTGTGAACCTCCCCCTGAAGGCATTCAGCTCAGGCTCTGTGGGTCAAGAAACCCAGCTCCTCTCAATTAAGTGCCCTGAGGCACCCCCAAAGGCACTGAGTTCCACTTCCTTGGGTCAGCAAGCCCACCTTCCCCAATTTAGCGTTCACCCCATTCCACAAGCCCGCCTCCTGCACATCCCTGAGCTGTGTGGGTTGGGAAGTCCATCACGCTCCTCCTTGCTCTGCTTCCTGGTTCTGCTGCTCTTCCTCTGATGTGATAGCTGTGTTCTGGACCCAGGAGGGTCACTGTGCAGGGAACTCAGGTTCTGAGGACTTGCTCCATTCCTGGCTCCGGCTGGCCGTGAGATCCCTGCTCCATTTCTCAGAGGGCTCATTTGATATACAGCCGAGTGGCATTCCAGTGAATCCTGTTCACTGTAACTCAGAGGTGACTCCTAGATCTCTTTCCCCACCTTACGGGACCCATGTAGGGAAAGGCCATTTGTTGGGAAGTTAAGAGACGTTGGCCAGAAGAGCCACATTAAATCATTCATTGCCTCTGCACTCAGCTTATAAGGTGTCCAACTTGGAAGAAAACAATTGCATTTGGGAATTATACAGGCTCAGGACTTGCTGAAAGTAGTTTAAGAGAAAATGGAATTTATTGACTTCCTTAACTGAGAAGTGCGGACCTAGGTTGGTCAGGAAGGCAACAGTATCATCAGGCCACAAGCTGTTTGTGCTCCTGCTCTGCGCCTTCTGCTTTGGCTTTGTTCCCAGGTGGACTGCAGACACCCAGGCAAGCACGCCTCCAGGCAGCTGCAGTGGGGAGAGAAGCCCAAGTGGTTAAGCTTGGATGGAGCCCGCCCGCCTCCTTCTCTCAGCCAGCATGCGCATGTTGAGTCAAAGGGTGCAGAGTTGCACTCCGGGTCAACTTCATTGAGCCGCTGGGCTTTCTGATAAGACAAGGCCCTTTCTGAAAGAAAGAAGAAAGAAGAAGAGTTCTGTTGCCAGAGTTACGGATGTTGGGCTGATAAAACCGACAGACATCAAATACTGTGCTTTTTGTGGACCCATTCTATATCCCATTCTGTAACCTATTTGTGACCTTTTACTAGACAGGCAAAAATGGGCATGCCCTTGGCCAAAGTCACCTATCTAGCAATTAGTAGAACCAGAATTTCAGTCTCCTTTTGGCTGATGTCACAGCCTGGCCTCTTTCTGGTACAAGAATTTGTTAAACTTTCCCAGTCAGCGCCCCCAGTGGCGGAGGGGTGTGAGCACACACCCTGGAGTCCTGGCTTCTGGTCCAGCAACCTTTGAGGTCTCGTTTGTTCTTATTAAATCCTACAAGTTAGCATTACACGCCATAAATGTTCAGCTAGAAAGGGTTCTGTGAGACTTAGTGAGTGAAATGGAGGAGCTGAGCCCTGCTGGCCACATAGAAGCCCAGCATCAGCCTAGGCTGCATGTTTAAGTTACCGCTCTCCACATTTTTTAAAAACAGGAACTTGTAAGTTACTGTCCTAGAAGTCTTTGGGCTTACTTTATTTTTGTTATTCAGAATATACACAGCAAAACCGACATCCACTCAGCAGTCCCTACACGACAATTCAGTGACATTGTCGGTTATAGACTTTGAGCTGTGTGACTACTATCCTCATCCTCCTCTTCCAAGTCCTTCCTCCCCTGTTAATGCCGACTCATGGCCTGCTAAGTTTCCTCCCTGAGCTTCTGAATTACCTTTGTCAGTCTGACCCACTATAAAACCAAAATTCGACCTTGGCCGTCGAGTTGATTCCAGTCCATAACGACGTTACCGAGCACAGTGTTCCCTCTGCCCCCCAGCAGGGCTCCTGGGTCCAGTGCAGGCACTCCGCACAGGAGTGTAAGGCAGTGCTCAAGGGAGACAGTCTGTCCTAGTTAAGCTCAATCACTGTTGATTTTAAGAAGACTTGATTAGATATTTTTTGGGTAAGGTTTAAAGATGATCACAGGGCAATTTCATTCAGGGATTTGTCCACCGTCAGCAAATCCGGCAAGTCTGGATTCTGTGAGGATGTAAAATACTCTGTTCTGCTAGATTCTAGATTCTAATCTAGATTCTAATCTAGACAACCACATCTCTCTCTGGCAAAATTGACATTATGAGACAGTTGGGGATTAGGGGTGTCCCTCCACCCTGTGGCTTGCCATTCATTGAGCACCTCTAGTGGCCAGGGTCTCTGGTATATCATTTGGGTGGCCTGTGGACAGTGTAGATCTGGCCATGGCCCCGAGTAGAGCCAGACCATTGGAGGTGCTGTCTGAGAGCCTTTTTAGAACTATTGTAAATGAAAACTGTTGTATAACAAGATAGTCTTTGTTAATAACAACAATAAGAATGATAAATGAGGGGTAGGTGTAAAATCTTTGATTAAAATATTAAGTAGTGGTAGCACCTTCCTGTTCTCGTCTCAGGCAAGGAGACAGGTGTTCCTGGAGACAGTCAGTCACACAGTAGGATTGATGACTTAAAAATCATGTGTGAGTATGCAAATTTGTTCTAAGCGATCATTCTGTATTATGTAAATATATATGTGTTTAAGGCCTGTTTTTGTAACATAAAATGGTCTTCTAATATGTATCATGAGTGATATGTGCTAGATTTGAAGGATATGTGCTGGAATTTGGAGAGTCTCAGAGTAGGATGTAATTGGCTTTTAATTTTTAAAAAACTTTTATTAGCTTTTATTTTTAGCTTAATTTACTCTTGAGCTATATGGCTTTGCTTCTTCAGTTTATTCTGGGAGATCTTTTTCTCTGTGTAACCTTCTCTTCTGGTTTAGGAATAACATGTTCCGTTTCAGTCAGGATCATTTCGGTGTGGTGGGGGGAGCTTATGGATGGATTGATCCGACCCTGAGCTCTGTAAAGTCGGGCGGCACATTGTGGGGTTTTGTTCACCTGGATGTGTTCTGTGACCAGGAATCCACAGCTAGGCCCTTAATTTCAGCGTTATTCATTGTCTGCGCTTTTTAAGCACTCTTTTTGGGCCACAACCCCCCTGTTTGACGTGGGCACACCGACCAACATAACAACACACCGCCTCGGCAAAGGGACATCTTTCAAATACTTGGTGGCTTTCTGGACAGGCATCCCCTTGATGGCCTGGGCAGTTTCATGGGTGTTTCAAATGGACCTAATGACTGGACATCTTGATGTGCATGATTGTGGGGTTTTCTGGTTCAAGTGAGTAGCAAACCATTTTAGCAGATCACCAATGGCCATTACAGGAACAGGTGGTTTTTAATTTTGAAGAGATCTCTTACATTCTCTTTCCAATGAAATTATTGCCTTTCAGAGTAGAATGCATGATTGTTGCCAATGATGCCACTGTGAAGGGCGGCACCTACTATCCAGTGACGGTGAAAAAACATCTCCGGGCACAAGAAGTTGCGATGCAAAACCAGCTCACATGCATCTACTTGGGTAAGTCACAGGAGTTGTAGAACCAGCCACTCTTAGCCAGTATCATGGAGACTGTGCAGAAGGCTATATGTGTGACATTGCCAAGGGGTATTAAAAAAAAGCCCGAAACCCCTGTTCATTTCTCTCATAATTTTAAAGGAAATGCATGTTCTTTGCTTAAATCAGGAGGTAGTGGCAAGGGTCATAAATAAAACTACTCAATAATTTCATTCAGGAATGATTCTTGGTTTAGGCTGGGTTGACTAGAGAAACAAATCCAGTGACACTCATATATGTGCCAGAAGGAGCTTTATATCAGGAATCACTTATATATCAAGAGAACTTCCCAGCCCAGTCCAACTCCAGTCCATAAATCCAATATTGGTCCACAAGTCCCTCTTCAGACTCACGCAGCCACAAGCGGTGATGCAGAAGGCAGGAAGATCGTGGTTTGGTGGGTGTGAAGTCATGTGGATCCAGTGGCAGTGTCTCTGGTAGGTCTCAGAGTGGCTCGTCAGCAGGAAGGTGAAGGCCGAGAGAGAAGGGGACATTCCCAGGTCCTTCCTTAGGAGAAGACCATGGTCACAAGCAGTCACCATCAGGCTGTGACCTGATTGAAGGCTAAACTCCACCCCTACACTTTCGTATATCTTCAAGTTGACAGGAAATTATGTGACTACCACAATCCTTAAAAAAAAGCTGGTTCATGCAGTTTTGTTTTTTTTCTCCATAGTGTAGATTTTTCCCTTCTGGTTTTTTAAAATATAAATAACTTGGGTGTAATATCAAGTTGATTTAAGTTTAAGTAAATATAAACATATACTCAAAATAAAGGAGCATTTCTGAGTTAAGGATATTTCCAAAAGAACCTTAAAGCAGGGGTGGTAAGTTGGCAATTCCTGGATATTGGTTGAACATTAACACATGTTCATTTCTGCAAGTATTTGTATGGATATACTGACTGTGGTAGGTACATAATCTCGTGTCAGCTTGAGGATATTAAGAAAGAAGGGGTGGAGCCTAGTTTGTCAATCAGGTCACATACTGATGATGCCTCCTTGTGGGCATGGCCTTCTCATGAGGATTCTGGGAACTTCCTCTCTTTCTCCCTGGAGGTGGGCCACATACTCTTTGCTCCACCTTACTGTTGACAAGTTTCCACCACCACTGGATCCACAAGACTTTTCACCCACTGGCTTGTGATCTTCCTGCATTTGTTATCATTTTGAGTGGCTACGTGAGTCCAAAGAGGAATTTATGGACTAGTATCAGACATATGGGCTAATCTCAGACTTATAGACTTGATCAGGACTGGGCTGGGATATTTTCTCAATGTACAATTGTTCTTTGATAGAAAACTCTGTCTTAGACATATATGAGTGTCTCTAGATTTGTTTCTCTACTCAACCCAGCCTGACACACTGTCATATGGATTTTTCTTCTGGGAAAGTGATTTTAGCTGGTGAACTGCTTTTCTATATACCAAACTCCCAAAGCGTATTGCCATCAAATCAGTTCCAACTCATAGCAACCGTAGGTAGCACTTCCATGACTTTACATCTCTAAGGGAGCAGGCAGTTTCATCTTTCTCCCTCCAAGCAGCTGGCAGAGTTGAACTTCAGCCCTTGAAGTGAGCAGCCCAGTGTCCACCACACAGAGGCACCAGGGCTCCTTTTCTTACTGAGAGAAAACACCAAAGTGAGGACCTGCTGCTGCAGGTGACGGCAGGCACGGTAGGCCGTTCCATGATGAGTTTTAAAGCCGTTCTTTTACTGAGAAAGCTGGCCGGAATTTAAGGCAGGCAGGTTGTAATGTGTTCAATAACAACACACCATTAAGAGTTTCATGGTTAGGATTAGGTACTGCTTTCTTTTTAAAACATGTAATACTAGGTGAACTCAAAGCCTGTGCGTTACACACATTAGTCCATCTCATCTGAGTAGCTACTTGATCTGCACTTGACATACGAGTAAACAATCACACAGCCCTGAAACAATCACTGCATAGCCTCTGAACCCAGCTGAGGTTCTTATCCACCACTCCAACCTGCACTTAATTAAAAACAGCATGGGAAGACAGTAAGTAATGAATGCTACACATCCTTCTTTGTCTAAGTTTAGATTTTCACCTGAACTGGCTAAGAATTTACATTTATGGGCCCTTAGCTGGCCCTCAAAGAAGAGACTACCCCAACACAGTTCAAGTGGCACTTTACACAGAGGTGGGGGAGCCTAATTGGTACCTGGGAAATAGTACTCTATTTGGATAGGGGGTGGGTAGGAGGAGAAAGACTGGAGCAGCCTAGAATGCTAGGCTACTTCCGTGAACGTGACGAAGAATCGATGCTGTCACAAGGACACATCCCCTTGTTTTCTTCTTAAAGATAGCCTTCTTTTCTCATTCCCGTTCAGTTGACTCGGGAGGGGCAAACCTACCCTGGCAAGCAGACATATTTCCAGATCGGGATCACTTTGGGCGCATATTCTACAATCAAGCAATTATGTCTTCTCAAAATATCGCACAGGTAATTTGTCATTAGAGAAAGGTATTGCTCTTTTCTTTAAATGTCTTTACTAGTGAGATACTCGAACATGAATTAAAAATAAAAACCAGAATGGAATCTTTTTCCATACAAAGTGTATTAAAGGTTATCTTTGCTCAGAGTCTTTGGATAATTATGGTATTGCTCCTATAATGTAATAAGGGTTATTTATCCAAGGAAAACCAGATTTTTAAAATTAAATCATTTTATTGGGGGCTGTACAATTCTTATCACAATCCATACATACATCCATTGTGTCAAGCACTTTTGTACATTTGTTTCCCTCGTCATTCTTAAAACATTTTCTTTCTACTTGAGCCCTTGGTATCAGCTCCTCAATTTTTCCCTCCTTCCCTGCCCCCCCATGAACCCTTGATAATTTATAAATTATTATTTTGTCATATCTTATACCATCTGACGTCTCCCTTCACCCACTTCTCTGCTGTCCGTCCCCCAGGGAGGAGGCTATATGTAATTGGTTCCCCTTTCCCTCATCTTCCCTCCACCCTCCCGGTATTGCCACTCTTACCACTGGTCCTGAGGGGTTCATCTGTCCTGGATTCCCTGTGGGAAAACCAGAGTTTTAGAATTCCGTTTCTAAGATTATACTATTGAGCAATGTTTCCCAAAGTGGGGACATTGGAACAATTGAAAACCCTCAGAGAAAGGGCTGCAAAAGCAGATATCTACACTTTATCCTGGATTGTGGGCTGTAGTGCAAAGGGTTTTAATTGTGAGAGGGTCACTGAGTAGTTTTTTTTCTGAAAAGTGGTTGGTAGGCCAGATGGATTAGGGAATCTGCACTCTAGAGAGATGTGTCAATTTGAGGATTAAGAGTGAAGGGGTGGAGTCTAGCCTGTCAATAAGGTCCCAGCTTGATAACCTCATTTGGAGATGCTAAGGAGATAAATAGCTTGTGGGAGGTGGGACACACACTCACTCCCTGGGAGACATCCCTGTGGAGAAGACATATGGAGAGAAGCTGATGGAGCCAGACCTTTGGAGCCGAGAAGCCACGTGGAGACCCCTGCCAGTGCTGAGATGCTTACACCACCACCGGATCCACAAGACTATCCACCCACTGCATTTGGCATCATTGCATGTGTTTCGTGAGTCTGAAGAGGACCTTACAGATTGGTATCAGACATGTGGGCTAATATTTGACTTATGGACTTGATCTGGACTGGGCTGGGATGTTCTCTCATTATTAAATTGCTCTTATATATAAAGCTCTTTCTTATACACATACGAGTCTCTCTGTATTTGTTTCTCTAGTCTACCCAAACCAACAAACATGTACACGAAAGATCATTGCAGCACCATTTGCTTGGCAGGAGTTAAAGACCAACTTAACTGTCCTATATCTTTGTAGCTGTGAAAAGGTAAGAGGACCCCTGGTGGTGTCGTGGTTACGAGTTGGATTGCATGGTTGGCAGTTCGAAACCACCAGCAGTTCCACAGGAAAAAGGCTTTGCTTTCCTGTAGACAGTTACATTGTTGGAAACCCACAAGGGTCGCTATGAGTCAGTATTGACTGATAGCAGTGAGTGAAGGAAAAGGTAGACAGATTCCTCCTTGTAAGGGAGCTTCAACGGGTTGGTGGAAGAATGGAATCAAAAGATAAGGAATTTTTCCACAAACTTTTTCAAGCCTCCTTGAATCTTCTAGGACTTATAATGTCTTTTTACAACCAAGGAGATGAGCTATTTAAGATAGGCACTTACTTCTGCATTACCTTCTGCTGTATCTTTTCTTTCTTCAAGGTAGGTTTTAGGGCTGTGGCATCCTAGGAGCCTTGGTGACACTGTGGGTTAGGTGTTTGACTGCTAACAGCAAGGTCAGTGGTGCATACCCACCTGGAGCTTTGGGACAAACTCTGTTTAGGAGCATTTGTTGTTGCTGCTGCTCTTCAGTGTATCTCTGTATAAACAGTTCATCTAATCCAGAGATGAGAGACAGATTAGAGGTGGCATTCTGTACCAGTCCAGAGAGTGATCAGAAAAACTAAGAAGTGAGAAATGGATAACCTTGACGCCATTACAGCGGGTACCAAAAAAAACCAAACCCAGAATTGTGTGTGGCAGAGAGGAGCTTTCATATGCATTTTTCCCTCTGGGCAAGCATCAAGTCACTCGCTCTGAGTTAGTGCACCCAGTGGCATCGCCTGGGAAGGTTCTCTCTGGTCATAGTGAATTTTTCCTAAACCTCATTTTTTGTGATGGCTGATTTAAGAGAACAGTATGCAGCTGTGAAATTTTATTTCCTCTTTGGGAAAAATGCCACAGAAACTGTCTTGATGTTGAACACAGCTTACAAGGACAACATTATGGGAAAAATGCAAGTGTATGAGTGGTTTTTTCGTTTCAGAAAAGGTGAAATGTCAATTGATGATAAACAACCTTCTGGACTTCCCAAGTGGATTAAAATGTCAACTCGTGCTTGGAGTTCATTCCACCAGGTCAGACTGTCAATCAAGCTATTTAGAGGTGCTGAAAAGATGGCATAACAGTGTGTGACAAAAAGGCTGATTTATGGCACATGCGGGACTGGTTTTGCCACCACGACAATGCACCTGCTCATGCAGCCATCTCAGTGCACCAGTTTTTGGTCCAAAACAGCATGCCTCTCTTGCCCCATGCACTTTACTCACCTGACCTCGCTCTGTGTGTCTTCTTTTTGTTTCCCTGAATTAAGAGGGACATGAAAGGACAGTGATTTGAAGACGTAGAAGACGTGAAGAAAAAAACAAGGGAGGTTCTGTCAGCCATCCAAACAGATGAGTTTGAAAATATTTCCAAGAATCGAATCCCATATTTGCCAAATGTATTAAGTGTAATGGAGAGTACTTTGAAGGTGATAAGGTTGTTTTTTTAAAAAAAATTAAATACATAACTTTGAAAAAAATTCCAGTCTTGGGGTGTGTGGCAGTTACATAATCTATCAACTTGTGAAGGGGTGGAGTCTAGCATGTCAATCAGGTTGCAGCTTGATGATCTCATTGGAGGCACCAAGGAGGTAAATAGCTCACTGGAGGCCAGGCACACACTCTGCCTGTGAGCCATTCCTGCTGACAAGCCACATCGAGCTGCACTGATAGAGCCAGAGCCCTGGAGCTGGAGGAGCCATGTGGAGACCCACGTCAGCACTAAGATGCTTCCATCACCACTGGATCCACAAGACTTTTCACCCACTGGCCTGTAATCTTCCTGCATTCTGCATCATTGCATATGTTTTGTGAGTCTGAAGAGGAATTTACAGACTGGTATTGGACATATGGGCTAATATCGGATTTCTGGACTGGGCTGGGATGTTTTCTTAATATACAATTACTCTTTGCTTACACACATATGGGTGTCCCTGGATTTGTTTCTCTATTCTACTCAAACTAACGCAGGGGTACCCCCGCCTATCTCTACAGTATTTACATGAAGTCTTGCACTCTGACCATACTTCTTCTAAAATAGATGTTTGTCCTTTTAGCAGTCCATGGTGCTTTCAATATTCTATTTTCCATTATCTAATTAATTTTAAACACATTTCAGCCTGCTTATGAATCTCAATATCACTTAGAAATGAAATCACTCAGATTGATGACTGTGAGACTGTCTGATAAAAAGACTAAGGAAGAAGAACGGAATGCTCTAGATGTATTTCTTGTATGATATATACATTTCAATCTGTCCAGTTAGCACAGATAAACATGAGTACTCTAGAATCAAGCGGTGTCACTCAGTCAGTGTACTTTACTTGATAGTGCTCTTAAATTCTGAACAGCTATTAAAAGTATGCTTTGTGGGTTAAAGACAAAAAAAACATACTACATTTTTTTTTACATACATTTTTAATGGTTTTGCCCTCAAGCAATTGGAATTTGTCCCATTCCAAGTTAAATAATTCTTATCCCAGTAGACTTTTGAACTGATCGTTTTCTCTAGACTTTTTTTTCTTAATGGAAGAATCAAAGTCTACATACAACTTTTCCAAATGAGGTGTAAAATCTCTCTGCTCCCCTAAGTCCCTTCTGTAGGGGAGGCTGCTGACCTACAATATGTAATTTGCTTTTGCTGCAATGAGAACCAGTCTACGCTTGCTCAGGAAAGACCTGGAGGGTAATGAAATCTTGTCCAAAGTTTTTCTAGACTATTACTCTGTTTTCAAGCATACCACATAGCCTATTCTTCAGAATGGTTTTTGCGACGTTTGTGGAGGTGGGGACATCAGTTACACATCATGGTTAGCCTTCTTGCTGTTAATACAAGTGTTATAAACACCACGTGGCTCTTCATGCTGGCAACAAAGGTCTTTTGGTTGTCTGTACCATAAGACAGGTCCACGTTGCTGTGTCTGAGTGGACTGTAGCCCTGCACAGTGCATTCGCTGGTACTCTCTGTGCCTGATACTAGTGAGGGTCACTGTGGTGTCTCTCCTGGCCCAGGGCCCAGAATTGTGCCCCAAGGCCAGCCAGATTTGTATCTCCAAGCATGGTCAGAATGGTTTATAGTCATGCATCTTACATATCCTTGGAGTACCCTCATGTTTCAGTGCAAGGGACCCTGGTGGACGTAATGGGTTACCCACTGGGCTGCCAACCAAAAGGACAACAGTTAGAAGCCACCAGCTGCTCCAGAGGAAAAAGGCTTTCTACTCCTGTAAGGAATTCATCTTAGAAACCTATAGAGGCCATTTACTCCGTCCTGTCGGGTTGCCAGGAGTCAGAAGTGATTTGATGGCAGTGGGTTGGGTTGGGTTTTTGTTTTTTGTTTTTGATATTGAAGGATTAACGTACCCTCTTCCAATCCTTTTTTTGTTTTTTTCACACGCCCATAAGATTGTAAGCCTGCCTTTATTCCCTCCCCACCCCTATTTAGATATCAAATTTCTAAATTGCCTGTCTCTACCATCACAGTACTGAGGAGAAAGAATGTTTCTTGATGTGATGAGTTTTCATTTCTGGTTGGACTTTTGACCATCTGCATGCATAA